GGTGTGTGGAGGAGGGGTTGGGGGTTACAGCTGTGGGTGTCTCCACCTGGGAGAACAGCTTTAACTTCTTCAGTTTTAGAGGAAAACCAGCACTGTGAGCTGCAATAACAGCCCTTTGGTGGTGTCACTGAGCAGAAGATGCTTCTATTGCCCGTGTCAGGCCCTGTGGCTTGGTGCAGAAGTGCATTAAGTGCTTCGTTTTTGAGAAGCCTTTGTCAGCTCACGAAGTGGTAAAATATTGCAGTCTGCAATGCAGTTCTGCTTCAAAAAACAGCTCAGGCTGTTTTTTACAATAGAAACAGACAAACAGCATCCTGAGAAATTAGATCACTTCACTAATACAGACTAGAGGCATTAGACAGATTTACAGTTTTGACCTCAACTACAAAATTCACTGTAATTCTTCAGTACCTGAGATAATCAGAAAGGGAAATGTTGTTTTTCTCAATTTCAATTTTCCTCTGAAACTTTGTTAGCTAATAAATCGCATTTGATGTCTCTTTATTTAGTCGCCCCAAAAATGTGGATGAAGTTGCCTTCCAGGATGAAGTTGTTGCTGTGCTGAAAAAGTCCTTGGAAGGTGCTGATGTGAGTGACAGGACAAGGGGCAGTGGGTAAAAACTGGGACACCTGAAGTTCCACACAAACTTAAGGAAAAACTTATTTACAGTGAGGGTGACAGAGCCCTGGGACAGGCTGCCCAGAGAGGGTGTGGAGTCTCCATCTCTGGAGATGTTCCAAACCCACCTGGACGCTTTCCTGTGCAACCTGCTGTAGGGAACCTGCTTTGGCAGGGGGGTTGGACTGGATGATCTCTGAGGTCCCTTCCAATCCTTACAATTCTATGGTTCTGTATGATCTACCCAGTCAACATGTTTAGGGAGAAACTTTAGCCAGTGCTAATGAAAACTTCTCTTTTCTAACTCAGCAATGTTCATTTTTACAGTGGTACTTTACGAACACGCCGTGCAGCTCCCTCATAGTATGTTGTGATATACGTGTAAAATTTATGGTGCTTCCAGCCTTCTAAACATTGTAAAATTGTCAGCTCTGTGATGCAGTTTGGAATTTTTCTGGAAAAGCTCAATCAGCTTTGTTAAATTTCTTGTTATTCGTGTCAAATCTGGAAAGGCTTTTGTTGTGTCTGCACTGCTATTCAGCCAGTACTTTTGGCATTTGTGTTTAAGAGGACAGGAGAAATGTTTCTTTGGTAGAAGAGTCTGGGTTGCCAGTTTTTCCTAATCAGTTCTAGTGATCTGTCAGTGCTTCTGTGAAACTGCTAAACATTAAAATAAGTAACTGTTTGCTGCTGGGGGAAGTTTAAGTTATAAGTGCCACATCTGCTACTTAGATAGTGATTCCCAAACTTTTTGGGTTAAAGTTTCCAGGTAAGTCTCCTTGGCTTTAAAAAGCAAAGTATGACAGTTGCGCTAACTTCACTGCAGTGTTGATATTTGTGATCTGAGAATATAACGAGGATGGGTAGAGCATTTTCAGTTGCTTTTGTTTATACTTGCTTCTGCTTTTGGATAAAAATTTAGTAAATATTCAGTATGAATTATGATTCTTTCCTCCAAATCAGGTGATGATGAGGTGAAGGGACTGAGGGGAGAAATAAAGTAGGTAGCTGAGAGATGCTATGCTTTCTTGCAAGTCTGGACAATTCCTTGCCTCATACATACTGAGACTTCTTTTTTTCTCCACGTTTCACCTGGAAGGGCCATTCTTGTGCTCCAAAAGCTATTTCTGTTTTCATTGACTGCTAATGCCAGGTGAAGGGGTTGGTGGACGTTCTGAAAATGACATTTATGATATGACTGTCTGCTCACCTAGAGCTAAAAGGAACAGTTTGGACTTTTCAGAGTTTTATGCAAGAAGCCTTTCACTTGTAGTGTGTCTGATGCACAGTATGAACAGATAGTCTTTAGTATTTGAAGATTTTATCTTAGGGCAATTTACTGTGCAGCTCTGCTTTTGACTAATATGAGTCTATTTCCACCTGAAAATATTAATTTAGTCAGAACTTGCAAAAGCAGAATTACTTTGAGCAGAGGGAGCCAAATTGAAGCTGGTATGACAGATCTGGGAAAGACTGGTGTAATTCCTTTCCTTAGTTCATGCATCTAGCTAGATTCAGTTTACTTTGGGAATGCTGTTATGTGACCTTGTCACGTAATGTTGTACCCCTGGAACTCTGGGTTTCAGCAGCAATGCTGCTTTATTGTAGTATTTGTACAGCTGAGGTAATGGGTAAGGAGCCACTAATGGTTAAGGAGAAATGAGGTGCTGCCACCTATTCTGTCTGGACGTATCAGTCACGTAACATCGCTTAGGTGAAGGGTTATGAAGTTCTATTTTGAGCAACAGCTATTTAAAACCTTTCAGCTTCTGGATCAGAAATGTTTCTCAGATTATGAGCCCAGTATGCTTGTGCTGACTTTTTGCCTCCTGAGTTGAAAAGACAAATTATAACTTCTGCTTACGGTTACGGGCTTTGTATTTTGCCATAACTACCCAAACTCAGCGAGGCATTTGAGAACAAAATTGTGCAAGTACTTTAAAATATTTGACCCTTTTAAAATTTGGGCATTTTTGCTAGTTCCGGAAAGAACTCATTCCATCAAAAAGGCAAAAGTGTAATTTAAACTCTGAGGTGGCTGCTACTTATTTCAGCAATTCTTACTGAATTTGGAGATCTGGTGAGATCAAAGAAACAGCTGTGACAACGCTGTAGGTTTGTGTAATGTGCTTTATTTAAATTGTAGTGTTGAAAATAGAGAACCAGTCCTTTGTTGATTGGCCTGTATTTGTGGGCCCTAGTTTAGGAGCTGCTAAATGAAGCAGGAAGGACTTTTAAGTCCCTGATACATCTCTATCTGTAATAGCAAGCATCTGTCTTCTTATAAACTGGGAAGACCAGAGTTCAAGTGGTTTTGAACTGGAAAAGTTGTTTTCTGTGTGCCAAGACTGTTGATTTGTTGTTGCTTTTTGCAAAGAAACTGACAAGTGTCATAGTATTCTTCAAGTTTCATTTACTTGATGGTATCTTAATGACTGAAAAGAAAGGTGTAGGATTATGATTGCAATTGACATCTTCACTTGTAAATCTTTACTTCTTCACTACTGAAACTTCTAGAAAAGGAGTTGGGGTTTCCACTATATGCAGTAACTTTCCCACAAGCGGGGTGATACTGCAGGTATCCTACTTATCCCTGGCAAGCATGGAAAAGTGGATAACCAGATCAGGTTGCAGGCTGTTTAAAAATACTGCCACAGTTACATAAAGGATTAGGCTGTGCTTGGTGAAAAAGGAGTGTAAATACTGGTGATAACTTCAGTGAGAAACAAGCATAAGTGAGGTTGTAACAGAAACAGTAGTGAAGTACGGGTTTAATGGAATTAGGAAACAGATTCTTATTAAAACTTTTTTCCTGCTAATGTTTGTTTTGAGAACTGGTGGAGTGTGAATTACTACAGAGGCATGAAATTATGAATCCCCACAAAAATGTCTGCCCTTGCAGTGTGCTAACCTAACATGGTTGCTGGTGAATTTTCAACTGTCATTTAGTAAATATTTCTTCTCCCTGGAGCTTTCCTAAAATATATTGGGGAATAATAATGTTGTGATATCTAATTAAACCTGAAAAAACATTTGTTAGTTCTTGGTGCTGTTTACTTTTAATAACTAAGGAAACAAACAAAGAATGATTGGCAGAAAGAGCAGGGAAAACTTGAAATGGATTTATATATTTGACTGAAGATTGAAATTCTTCTATCTGTACTTTTACAGTACATACACAGTTGAATCTGTTTGCTGTGTCTTATCTTAATTGTTAAAATGAGATGCTTGTTACCAAACTGGTCTGTTTCTATTAATTTTCTGATTATGGATTGTGTACTCCTGCATTTTTCTTGGGTCCTTGGGTGCCTTTGGCTTTGCTGTTTCCATTCTGTCTGCATTGCTTGCTATATTCAGCATAAAATTCTCTGATTTTAGTTGACTCTTTCTAAAAATAGAACATTTATTAAGGGCTGGAAACCAAGTCAGACTGAGAGGTTTGTCTTTTTGCTGTTGATCAGGGGGGATTCTTGAATTCCTGTTCGGAGAATGTAGAACTGGAACATCCCCTATTACCCCAGGCAGCAGTTTTAAAGCGCAGCCTGATAATTTGTAAGAGTGATTACTTGACATAGTAGTATAGAAAGTTATCAATCCTGTGCTAATTAGAAAGCTTTTTGATTTCAGACAAAATTTAGTCATGGCTAAATCTGGTTTATGCCAACTTTGTTCTTTGGTCCTGTGTTGCTCTGACATATTTATGGAGATCAGTCGTATTCCCTCTCAGCTTTTGTTTGCTGAGCGAACTAAATCAAACTCTTAGTCACTTCTCATAAGACTCTTTACTCCTTTAATCACCTTTCCTAGTTTGGATTCATCATCCTTGACTAAGGATGACCTGAACTGTGTGTAGCTCTCCAGATCATGGCTTATTAGCCCCATGTTAGTATTAATAATTTTCCATCTGTGTTGAAAGTGCGTGTCCTAGGACCACTGTGTTACACAGGCTTATACTGTTCCTCTAACTGACAGACAGGCAAAGTCAGCTTGGATTTTGTTCCAGCTGATGAACTCCAGACATCTAGCATATACTTAGTTCTCAAATTGTGAGATTTTATGCTTTGTGCTGCTAAATGTCACCCTGTAATTGTTTTGCAGTCTTAGCTCTGCTGCTTGGATCTTCCTGTGTCAGCATATTTCTTTAATGCATTCCTACATTTCACGCTGAGGTTATTAATTAAATTATTTGAAAGATTAGTTAACCTAATCTCTTTAAGAAGTGCCACTGGTCTCCTCCTTTGAAAACATCCTTGGATGGATGTAGAAATTTGCCAGTGCCATGCGTTCCAGTCAGTCATTGCAGGCACCTCTGAGAGCAGTGCTAAGGGATGTCCGCATTGCACTCACTGCAATATAGTGCAGGCGTTCACAAGCTGCCTTGTACTTACTGCAGTGGAGTTAGTGGCAGCACAGAATTCTCAGCATGGCTTGGAAAGGCAGTCTGGGGAGCTGAGAAAGTACGGGGTAGTTATCCTGTGCCAAATTTTGTAACAGCTGCACTGCTACTAGTATCCAGGCTGTTTTAAGGGCATCCTTTGATAAATTTGCATGTCACTGCAATTACAACAGTAAGTTCTGTAGGCTTTAGTGAGCTCAGACGTGACCTGGAGGGAATATAACAAAATAAAATATAAATTGAAGTACCAATTTTGATAGAACATGTGATGGTGCCACCAAATAACGGCTCGTTCATGCTGTGTTATAAACAGCAACTGTTTGTGCTCCTTTGTGCAGTGACCTAGAAGTGAAAAACTCGATACTGTTTCCAGGAGGGACAGATAGTTTCTGTTCTGGTAGGTGTGCAGATTTTCAGTAGGTTTTCCTGTTTGTGATTTGTTTTGTTTATTTGCTTTTTTTAAAAATGGTGCCTTGATGTTTCAGCTTCCCAATCTGTTGTTCTATGGGCCACCTGGAACTGGAAAGACTTCCACTATTTTAGCAGCTGCTAGAGAACTCTATGGGTAAGCTAGAATCAAGTTGCTGTGATGTAATTGACTATCATGTCTTCTAATCACGTGGCAGAGTGCCTCTGGTCATTGCCTGTGCTTGTATAGCTTCTGGGTGTTTTTTTTCAGGAATATCTTCACATTCTAATTCAGCTCCAACATGAGGTGTCTTTCTCACTTGTCCTGTCACAAGTCATTGATTTCTTGTCATTGATATTCTTCATAATACAGACTTACAACACTTGAGACTAGCAGCCATGTAACCCTATAGCAAAGAGTATGAAAAGAAATGGCTTGCATGTCCCTTACTGACCTTTGTAAAGGAATTCCAATTTTAATGGTGTGTTCATTAAGTTGTTAGTGACACACAGAGCTCAAAGCACTTCATAAAATGTCTGAATCATAATCTTTCCATTAGGCACCATTGAATTGTGTCTGGAAGTAATGTTGGGAGTCAGACTAAAATTCAGCATGTGTACATTCATCAGCTCACTTGTAACACTTGGGAGTTTTTGAGTAGTGAATTCAGTGACCCATAAGCAAAAAATGGATGATAGGGTGGTTTGGTGTTATGAGCGAATCTAATGTTGACTTTAGTCTCTTCCCCTACTCCCAAATTATAATATAGTAATAAAATAATAATTTAACTTTTGGCTTATGTTGGTTTTTGGAAAGAATCACTTCTGATTTATTAGTAGGAAGACAGTTCCACATTGTGTCCATTTCAATTCCCAGAACTGAAAATCCACTGTATTAATTTGGTTTTTATTTGTTTTTTAATCAGAGGTGCTGCTGTAGAGCACTGCTGATAAATACTGCCAGCGTTACACTTTCTAGATATTTCTTTCTGGTAGTATTGCAATGGCAGAGCACTGCCAGTGGCTGTGTCTGGGTGTTTTATTTGTCCTTCCACATTGCTCACCACATATAAGGAGACAGGCATATAATGCAGTGCTCTGCACTTAGGAAGCCAACTTCCTACTTTTTTTTCCTGGATAACTGATGTCATTTTACACTTCACTGTTTTCTGCAATCTGGGAGGCAATTGTAAAAATAGACAATGGAAATTCATACCTAACATTTAATGATCTCAATTTAACTGTCTTTTGACAAAGCACACTGTTTGGTAATGCTGGTGAAAATAATACCCATCATTCAAAAACACCAGCAAGACTGTTGCTATATTTTATAATGTGTCATTACAAGAGTTAGCAGCTAACATGTTGTAATAAAAATTTTGCAGTCCTGAATTATTCCGGCAGAGAGTCCTTGAGTTAAATGCCTCTGATGAGCGTGGAATACAAGTGATTCGGGAAAAAGTGAAGGCTTTTGCTCAGCTGACTGCATCTGGAAGTCGTTCAGAGTAAGTGCTGGATCAAAGCTGTCTCTGTTTGAGGGACTTTCTTGCTTTGCAAAAAAGCAATGTGGTTGTTTTTGTTTAGGTTAACTTTGTAATTCTAATATAAATGATGGGTCAGCGTTGCCCCGAAGTTTGCTCATGTGCAGTGCTTTGGCTAAGCTTTGGCTTTATGCAATTTTATGTCGAGAGTTTGAACACCTGGGAGGAACTTACACTAGTGCTGTTAAGAGTTAGAGAGAGGCAGACAGGGAAAACCCCAAAAGACCAAGCCTTGTGGATTTGGTGACACGTTGTTGCCTTTGCAGGTCTTTTCTGACTACCACAGAAAAGCTTCTTTTGGTAAATTGTGGTGGAAGTTACTTCTCTAGTACCTCTAATCTGCAGCATCTCATACAAGATAGGTGCTGGTTTATAAGATGTGAACAAGATTCTGGTGTTAGGGGGTGAGAAACCCTGTGCAGGTGAAGCTGTAAGTATGGAAAAAACAGATTGTGGAAACTTAACAGGAAGAAACTGCATGCCAGGGCTATCTGGCAAGAAATGATCTTGTATACTGAAATTAGCCTGTTGCAGTGTTCTTTAAAGTTCAGGGAATCAGGAAGCCTGTAAAAACAGCTGCATTAATTGTTAAAAGGAGAAACTTAAAGCAAAAGTACATATTTTAAAAGACTTCTGCAGTATTCAAGTCTCAGTCTTTCTATGGGAACTCAGTCCCCCCTTTATTGTAAATAGTAATCCTTTATCTAAAAATAATTAAAAAGATTGAACCTCTGAATATGTTCTACTTATTTGTTATAAATCCTTAAGTAAAATAAGACTTGCTATTTGCAGTGAGTAATTTTTAAAATTTTTTTTAAACTTGGTCTATACATCCAACATGTCCCCTGGATAAGAGATTTTCTTATTTTTCAGTGGTAAAGTTTGTCCTCCTTTTAAAATTGTAATCCTGGATGAAGCAGACTCAATGACTTCAGCAGCCCAGGCAGCCTTAAGACGCACAATGGAAAAAGAATCTAAAACAACACGTTTCTGCCTTATTTGTAACTACATCAGCAGGTGTGTGTGGAATTTGTTATTTGGAGTTGTTTCTCTTCCTATTCTGTACTATTCTTTTTTTTTTCTTCATTGAGAGATTGATAATTATTTTTTTATAGTTTTGAGTTAATAGAGATGTAACTGTGAATACAAGACTGAAGACAATGTTTAGGTATCAACTTTTATTTTTTACAGTGTTGCAGTTTAAGATTATGCTGCACTTTTCTTGATAGCTTTGTCTGTATGAACAAGATTATTAAGATTAATTATTATATTATTTAGATTATGCTGCACTTTTCTGCCTTGATAGCTTTGTCTGTATGGACCTGACCGATGCATTCATTTACCAAGCACTTACCTTCCTTTCTTTCAGGATAATCGAACCTTTAACATCTCGATGCTCCAAATTCCGCTTCAAGCCTTTGTCAGACAAAATCCAACAGCAGAGGCTATTGGATGTTTGTGAAAAGGAGCATGTGAAAATCAGTAGTGAGGTAACTTCATGGTTGCCATGGAATTCTATTGCTTAATCCAGTGTATAATTGCATTATATTGAAAGGAGCTAAGTCAACATGCTTTTCCAGACTGCTCATTTGTATTAAATACAAAATATAAACTCATTTAGATATTATTCTCCTCCCATAGATGGGATGAATTTTAAGAGTCTTCCTAAAACCAGAGAAAGCTGAAGCAAGACAGTAGGGCTTTTTGTTCTGTGCTGAGTGTACTTGCATTAAACCGTGCTTCATTCTGAAACAGCCAGCACACATTTGTACTGGTGTAGAGGTTGCTTTGTAACTTGGGTATTGCACCTGTCTGTGACAATCTGCTTTAGGCACTACTTGATGTTTTAAAACCAAAGTGCTGAGAAAGCATACTGTATTTTAATTAACAGAGAACATATAACTTGGCATTTTCTGACGTTATTTTCCAGGCAGTATCTTACCTTGTTAAAGTGTCAGAAGGGGATTTGAGAAAAGCAATTACTTTTCTTCAAAGTGCCACTCGCCTAATGGGTGGGAAAGAGATCACAGAGAAGATAGTCACTGAAATTGCTGGGGTAAGCTATGCTTTATGGTTTCTCCTGTAATTAGTCTGAAAAGCATTTGGGTAGTAAGTGTACTTGCTACCTGTATTTACCTTTGCTCGTAGTTTGATTAAAAATTTGTTTTATAGAATCATAGAATGGTTTGG